AAATCAGGCAGGGAAGTATGAAATCACTGTAAGATTACAAACAACCCATAAATCAAAACTTCTATAAGACGTACTGAGTACTTATTGGTTTATACGTGTAAAACTTAGAATACAATGACATTCATGCATAGTCAACTCGTATGTTTGCGGCTATGCACATGAAAGAATTAGATCCATTCTGTATGCAGATGCAAACTTGATATTTAGTGAAAAAACATCATTCATAATAACAATATTCACAGTAGTTAATCCAGGCTTTGAAACGTTACATTGCATAACCATACTTGGAGACGGAATCTAGCGTCTTGCCTTTCCGTATATCGGATTTTCACCCCATGGAGTACTGTTATTTAACAATCTAGCAAATTTCTCTATTGAAAGACGTATAGATTATTGATAATATCAGTAGTTAGCCTCCGGTTAATAGCAACCTTTGATTCAGGGTTATGCATTAGTTTCAATTCACCCTTCTATAGTTGAATGATACGTCCTAATAAGCAAATGTCAGTCCATAAACCCAAGGATTAAGCATATACGGCTATACTTCCTGATATCTCAAAAAAAGGATTGATTCAACGGAAGAATAAAAATGCCCTATACTGTGTCTTTGGCATAATCGTTTCAACTATGAACAGGAAACATCTCTTTCGTAGAAAGAAGAAGGGTAGAAACCTTTGCTTTACTATTTTTCCAAAATTACATGTACATTTATGCAATGCAAGACTAGGACCCCGAGTTTATATATTTCTTACAGGCTACGGAGATTTCTTAATGATCAAATACAATATTATCGTCGTAAACCACAGTCAAAATATACGATCCTCTCTGTGCTGGCCGTGGACGAATGAGAAAGAGAATATTTCGTAGCCCTTTAAATGCAAGTAAACCATATTAGGGAAATAAACTTTAACCTTTCAATATATCCAATCGCAGTTAACGAAATATCTTTTGTTTACTGATGATGTCAATGTTCATTTCAATTGCAGTGGAATCAAATATTGCCATTGGCTGAACATGACGTCACAACATAAAGGCAAGCATATTCAAGATTACGATAATTTATGTGATGAAAGAGACAAGGATAGGAGTATATGCGGTCTCCAAACCGAGGTTTGAGAAGATGATGCAACGTATAATTTTTTCCTCATTTTTCGGATTTAATTCCATTTTTTTTATCCTTAAGTAGACATGACTTTAACAATTAGCTTTTTAATAAGAACGCGATGATCTGAAGTTATATAAAGCAATTCTTTATCATTAAAATAGGTCACTGAGTTAGCAGGTATGGGTTATCAGTGCATTAAAATTCAAAGGACTAAAGAGAAATTTTATATAAATCATCTTAATTATTTCGATCTAGACTTAAATGTTTTCAACATAAATTCCTCCAGTTAGGCTTCAAACCGACCCGAAGGGAATCTGTTGATGCGAGCCATCTAATCGAAATCCTATAGCATTGCCGCGTTTGTCACGTGAGGTACAGTTATTTCACCAGTTCCGAATAAGAAACCGATTCGGCGGTGCTATAAAAATACTAGGCATTATTTCAAAATCTAAGTGTTTTGTCAAGGCAGTTCGATGACTTGCGGAATTAAATATTGTTTCATAAAAGTTCAGCCTTCCCTCAAAAAAAAATTATTTCGCAAGTAACCATAGGTGTCCATTTTACCAGTTACGAATAAGCCGACGAGTTCCGGATAGCTTAGGGATTCTTATCCATTTCAACTCTAAATTAAAAAATATACGTCCCAGACGTTATCCATTGGCATGCCTAAGAAAAGTTAAATTAATTGCTTACCAATAAATTATTTGTATTTTCAATGGTTGAAGAGAAACTAGAGGTACCGTTGGCACTGAGCTCATTTTAATGATACCCCACACCCCCTTTACGATTATTTATGACAAAATCCATGTTTTGCTCTGGGAAATCCGAAATAAGTGTCAGATCAAAAAGTAAAATAAATTTGGCACTGTTAAACAAAGATTCTTTGAAAGACTCATCAAATTCTGTGAAGCCTCATTAAACTTCATTCAGTGGTAGAAGAGGGGTTGCGGATAAGAAATGGATACCCCAAAGCATATCAAACGGACGGACGTACAGACAGACGGACGGACGGACACACATTTGGTTATATATTGGGTACATCAAGTCCAGTCTTCTTGGATACTGCTTATTGGATACAAAAAAGTGAAAATACGAGAGAGCATTATTTGGGTAGGAACTGTTCAAATCTTATTGGATATGAATCCCAATGTCCATATTTTATTGGGTTTTTTTCTTATTATTCTTTATTCATTCCAAACATATTTTTTTGCTTGCTGGTAAATACAGAAAATCTTTGGTTTTGAAGACACATTTTGTCATTTTTCTTAGCTATTAGGATTTACATTTTAAAACACCTTATATTGAAATATATGAACACCTACATATAATAAACTGAATTATCCAAACACATCTCAGACTCTGTTCAACCTTTCTTGAATACCAAAAACAAGTATTTTAGGAGAAACCTTTTTTTTAAAATCATGTCCAATATATATTAAGAAAATTGGCAAATGTCCTTTACATGTTGGGTGGAATGAAGGTATCCAAGAGGAATTGGACAGGTGTCTAATACCTGCTGGGTTGTATTCTGATGAAGGGAATCAATTTACCCAAGAACAATTGGACATAAGTACATAACCTCTTTGGTGGGAGGTCGGACCCAACAGGTATTAGACACCTGTCGAACTCCTCTTGGATATCCACATCCCACCCAAAAGGAAATGGACACTTGTACAATCCTTCTTGGGTTTCTTGAATCTCCTCATCTGAATACAACCCAAAAGGTAATGGACACCTGTCCAACTCCTCTTGGATATCTACATTCCACCCAACAGGTAATGGACACTTGTCCAATTCTTCTTGGGTTTCTTGAATTGCTTCATCAGAATACAACCCAAAAAGTAATGGACACCTCTCCAACTCTTCTTGGATATATACATATTACCCAACAGGTAATGGACACTTGTCCAATTCTTCTTGGGTTTCTTGAATCTCCTCATCTGAATACAACCCAACAGGTTATGGACATCTGTCCAACTCCTCTTGGATATCTACATCCCACCCAACAGGTAATGGACCCTTGTCCAATTCTTCTTGGGTTTCTTGAATTGATTCATCAGAATACAACCCAGCAAGTAATTGACACCTCTCCATCTCTTCTTTGATATCTACATCCCACCCAACAAGTAATGGACACTTGTCCAATTCTTCTTGGGTTTCTTGAACCTCCTCATCTGAATACAACCCAACAAGTAATGGACACCTGTCCAACCCCTCTTGGATATCTACATCCCACCTAACAGTTAATGGACACTTGTCCAATTCTTTTTGGGTTTCTTGAATTACTTAATCAGAATACAACCCAAAAGATAAAGGACATCTGTCCAACTCTTCTTTGATATCTACATTCCACCCAACAGGTAATGGACTCTTGTCCAATTCTTCTTGGGTTTCTTGAATTGCTTCATCAAAATACAACCCAAAAAGTAAAGGACACCTCTCCAACTCTTCTTGGATAAATACATCTCACCCAACAGGTAATCGACACTTGTCCAATTTTTCTTGGGTTTCTTAAATCTCCTCATCTGAATACAACCCAACAGGTTATGGACACCTGTCTAACTACTCTTGGATATCTACATCCCACCCAACAGGTAATGGACACTTGTCCAATTCTTCTTGGGTTTCTTGAATCTCCTCATCTGAATACAACCCAACAGGTTATGGACACCTGTCTAACTACTCTTGGATATCTACATCCCACCCAACAGGTAATGGACACTTGTCCAATTCTTCTTGGGTTACTTAAATCTCATCATCAGAATACATCCGAACAGGTATTAAGACACCTGTCTAATTCTTTTTGGATTCCTACATCCTACCCAACAGGTAATGGACACTTGTCCAATCCTTCATGGGTTTCTTATATCCTTTCTTCGGAATGCAACCAGTTATTAGACAAAGACACCTGTCCAACTCCTTTTGGATACCTTCATCCCACCCAATAGAATTGTGTCCAATTCTTCTTGGATAACTTAAATCTCCTCAACATAATACAACCCAACAGGTAATGGACACTTGTCCAATTCTTCTTGGGTTTCTTTAATATCCTTATCAGAATACAACCCAATAAGAAAGGGACGCTTGTCCAACTCCTTCTTGGATATCTTCATCCCTTCAATAGTATACAAACTAAGAGTTATTTGACATTTGTCCAATTCTTTTTGGGTTACTTAAAATCTTTTCATAAAAAACCCAATAGGTAATGGATATCTGTCCAACTCCTCTGGGATATTTCATTCCGGCATTAGAATAAAACCCAACAGGTAATGTTTACTTGTCCAATTCTTCTTGGGTTACTAATACCCTTCATTAAATTCACCCTCCCCCAACAGGTTCTTGGACACCTTTGCAATTGTCAAATTTGTCTTGATTATCTCTACTCTTGCATTAGATTGCAAACCCAATAAGTATGACACTTGTCTATCCCTTTTTTAAATTCATATTTATCTGCATAAGCATATAAAAATCTAAAAAAAAAAAACATGAATACTTTAATTTTAACAATCAACATCTCATTCAGTGTACAATTTACAAATGATAGGAAAAGGTATAAGCATTTTGAGCCTTAACTATTTGGCTGTTAAAGCAAAAAAAAAACCATTTTATAACCATGTTTGTAAAATTTAAATATTGCAACTTGGCATCAAGTATAACTCATTACAGGTAGGGCAAGATAGTGAAAAGATTTCTTTCCCAAACCTTCATTTTATCTATGATGAAAAATATGTTAGTACATAAGTACTAAAATATTAAGAAATAATGTTGTTTGTTAACTTAAAAACCACACTGCCACGTAGGAAAATCACAACCTTGAGTAAATATTTTCCTTCAGTTGCTCAGATTGTGTTCTATTATATGAAAACAAATTCTTGAACCGATTACGCAAGCCTCTCAAGAATTATAAAAATTCCTATTTGTATCAGGTACATGTACTTCTATATTTAAGGAATGAATTTTATAGTCACCGATGTTAAAAGATATAACCTCATTAACCTGAGTTTGAAATCACAAACAAATTTTTCCGGAAATAAAACAGTATGTTGCACCAGGAACTAAACTTTTCATTGTTAACTTAAACTCAGATACAAGTACAATGTATGAAATTCTTCGTATCAAAACTTTAAACAATTTTATGCACTATGCCACTATGTCAAAATCTGACAAATTGGGATCAAGATATTCAATCAAATACTCACTGTAATTAGTTGTAGAGCAAGAGAAAAGTCATTACATGCAAAAATTTTACAGGTACGGTTTTAATCCTGTATTACAATAAATGTCAAAATGTTTTTATTTTTGTTATTGTTCAATACTTTCTTCTTCAGGGTCCCCCATGGCCTATACTGTATGAAACCTCCATTGACCCTGCTCTTTTATATTGCAATATTGCTATGTTGTCTTCCAGGAGTAGTGGTTGTGTTCAGGCATTCTTTGAAATATTCCTCATGCATCTCCTTCAGTTCTGCTTCTGTCCATTTCATTCATTCTGCAATTAGATAAAGACATATCTACGCCATATAACATGTGTTTTACTTGGCTACAGCAAGATTACCCTTAATGTTGATCAAACCCAACGAAGAAGTAGAAGTATATTTCTTATTCACAAATATGTATTGATAAATAAAATAGAAAATGCAAAGTTTTATCAACTCTTTCTCTCTCTCTTCAATGTCTAATTGCATCTTCATCCTACCCATAACTGCCATAATTTTAACAAAATGGAATCATAATTCAACTACAGTTTGTAGTTTTCTTATTCTTAAGAAGGTGTTTTTTTAAAGATTTTACACATATTCAATGTAAATTTAGACTTCTAATGTCACACTATCAGTACAATAGGGGGCCATAATCTTCAAAAACATCTCTACACTACACGATATATCTTTCACATTATTACTGTTTTTAGTCCAGTGGTTATACTAAAGAGGAATTCAAATTGACCAAAACCTTAATCACTACTTTCAAATTACATTGACATGGACAGCGACACATTCGACACCCCTTTTCCTTCCTGAATGATGCTTTGCACAAAGTCTAATTAAAATTGACTAAGCTGGATAGAACTTAACATATGAAAAATTACAGTCAAACAGAATATGAATAATTTTCACCAGATCAGACCTGAAGTAGTGATAATTAAATAAAAATACACCTACAAGATGAAGCTGTTTTCTTCCTTTGAAGTGATGTCTAGTCTTCTTTCTTTTCCTGTATGCTTCCTCTATCACGACAAAAAAAATGTTATATTAACAAAAACTATGACTGAATAGTGATTACTCTCCAATTTATTAATTAAGTTCTGGAACCAAACCCTCAGATTCCCTTAAAACAAATGATTCAAATCTGATAAAAGTAAAAGGTATCAAAAGATACACTACAAAAAATACTAAGGAAATTTATCAAACTGAACATGACGACTAAAAAGGTTTTATGTAGTTGTTGAATAAGACAAAAGAGTTTTTTTTTTTACTTGCATGACATTAACAATAGCTTCCCTGCATCTAGATGGTGGTTTCCTAGTAATTATGTTCATGCTCTGCTGGTTTTTTTCTCCCTCTTCTAATTAAAGAAGACGAAAATGTCTCTAAAAATTTTATGAATGGCATGAATTATTCCTGATTTTTTTTACTGATTACTTACAACTGTCCAATTCCCGAGGGTCATCTTCTTCTAAGTGTGTTTTTGTAATGTTCATACCTGAACTTGCTGTTTGACCTGTTACATATTGAAAATTGTTTAATTCTCAACTAAACATAATTATGGTTTTGAAATTTATTGCAATCATTGGTTACTTCAATAAAAAAATAAAACCAGTTTATTGTAACATTACTTAGGAAAAAGTTTATTAAATATCATGAGAGAAAAATGAATCTTTTTTCAAGGTATCCTACAATCACAAGCAAGCATAATCATATAAATTCACATATGTAAACCTACAAGCTTTTTGTGGTATAAAATCATATACAGGAGTGAGCAATTATAAAATTCAAGTACTAGCCCACAGCCTGGTGGCAGCAATAAAGTAATTATCCCCAAGTAAAAAGTTACTAGGCCAAATATAGAAGAAAAATTAAAAAGTAACATTGAACAAAAGTTAATCATGAAAAAGTCAAAGTACTAACTATAGGTAATTCTTTTTTAAATAAAAGATTCATTTTCGCTTGTAAAATTTAATCATATATAAATTAATGATTATGATAGAAAATGAAAAAGAATTTAAGTCTTCCTTTTTCCGATCATTCACTACCTCATCTAAATTATAACGAAGCATACATAATTTTGTTTTCATCTCAAATCATTAAAAAACACTGCACATATATTTTGATTTAATTGTATGACACTTATCTTTCAGTTGACTGAGTGAATGTAAATAATTTAATAAGATATATGTATGTACGTACATGAAAATATATACCATAAACAAAGGACCGGAGGAAATTCAAATAAGGAAAAAACGATCGTTTTTTTTAAGTATATGTCTGGTAGTACTGCAAAATGAATGCAATTAGTGAGATTATGGAGATTTATGGATAATAGGAGCATGCTACCTGGAAAATTATCACATTGGAAATTTAATACAAAAAAAGTGAAAATACACTGTCAGTGTTGTGCTTTTCATGTATAACATGTCTATTTTAAAATTTTTACTAGCCCAAGGGGCTACCTCCACTAGCCCGACCCCCGAAAATGGTAGCTCCAGGCGTCGCACGATGCTATTAAAATTGCACATCCGTCATATGAATAAGTTATGGAAGTCCTCTATTAATTTCAGTATAGTTCATTTGTTAAAACAAAAGCAAAAAATAATGATAAAAAAAAATCAAAATAAATCAGACACTCAAACTCAAAGACTGAAAGAGGCACCGTTTTAATTTTTTTTTCAGTAATACAATGAATTTCTTACATATCAGATCAGATAAACTTACATACAATTATTTATTTAGCTGTTGTCAATTACCCCATTTATCATCATCACTGCTAACTTTATGTTTATATCACTGTCTACATGAACAGCTGATTTATGTACAAACAACTGTTAAAATTTTCATTTCCCTATCCAATATACCTTGTCAAACATACTTAGTTGGTTATTAAATAAAACTAAATATAATGAACACTAACGATTTATCAAGTATTATTTAACAATATACGATAATATTCTAAATATTTCTCGCGCTAAAGAGAGTTAAAAAGACAGAGGAAATTCAAAACACATACAAGTGCTACTTAGAATAAACTGTTGCGATAATTATTTTAATTTTGTGCACAATTACTTTTAAAATTACATAAAAATCAATTTTCCTTAAGCAAGGATCAAGCAATGGTTAAATATTAATCGAATAAACTTACCTTTTCTCTTGTCAACCAGACAATCTTGTTGACATCGTATTCTTCTTAGTCACCATATTTTTTTTCGTGAAAACAAACGCCGTAATGATCAAGACTAATGGAAGTTGATTTTCGGAACTCTCGAGAATGTAGAGTTCCGAGTGTAAAAGTGAAATGCAAAACATGGTCTGTCCATGGAAACAACTTTTTTAGACACTTTTTTGGACAAATCGTCGTGTCCAAGTTTTGTTGGGTACCAACCGGCAAATACCCAATTGAGGTGTTTTAAGCACATTTAGCGACACTTCTTATTGGGTATACCCAATAAACAAAAAGTACCCAATAAGTACCAACTGAACATGAAAAATACCCAATAAATGCACTCTCGTAAACACGGACGGACGAACATACAGATGGATGAACAAACGTCCGATTACTATATACCCCTTCTTCCTGTTTTTCAAGCAGGAGTATTATTAGTCATGTTTACAATGAAGAAAACAACGAAGAGTGAATTCAAAATACTGTTTAAAATGGGTATTCGGAACTGGTAAAATAAGAACACGAAAATATTTCGATATCTTCTAGTGTTCTAAATATCTATTTTTGACAAGTTTTTAGTATATGTTAGAGTACATATCAAACTTACTTTTGGTATCTGGAACGTTGTTTTATGTGAAAAATTTATGTATCTACAGAGGTTTTTCTGCAGACTTACGCGTCGCGGTGATTTAGTTTTGTTGCATTGTAAAAGTATGTCGACTGTTTCAAGTACGATAACGAAACCAAACCGAGGGCAAAAAATCAAAACTTCACATTATTCAAACACTCATAAGTAAGCTTTCTTACCATAGAAATCAATTTATTTTTACACCGTTGAATTTACTAATTATCAGTCCTTAAATTACTAATTATCCGGAACTGGCCAAACGACTGTATTTTACTTGTATAGCAGTATTTTGATGGTTAGTCTCCTTTTTCCATTAAGCACAATTATCTTCACTCAATAAAATCAATGAATCTTATACATTACATGAATGTATATTATATAGCGTCTTTGTCAACCTATGCTATAGTACAGTTAGGTACACTGACAATTATACATAATTATGCATCTAAACACTCACGCTTTCCTTTTTATTTTTTTTAACATTTGAATTATAGAATAAAAAATTACTGCGATTTGATATTTCCCATTGAACTTAAAAATAAGGAAACCAGAGTATGCCACATCTATTTCTAATGTTTGGATGTTTTACTGACCATAAACGGTAAGGGCCATCTCTCAACTAAATTTCATGCCCCCTTCCAAAAACACTTCATCTGTTCCAACGTTAACGTACTTTATTTATGAAGTAATATCCCTCTATCACCTACAATGGTGTTATTTGATACTCAAGAGCATGCTCCGAGTACAATAATTTTTAAACCGAGACGGGCTACTGACAGATAAGTTCAGGTGACAGGGATTTCAACAGCCTCGTTTAAAGTCAGCATATCATACATGTAGCACTATGATCGTTATTATAACCTTGTTAGCAAATATTGCCAATCATTTGATCGTATTAAGGTTGAATTGTTTCATACCAATTGTTAAGCTTTTGTTTTTATACATAATTTTACCACAGAATATTCTGTTTTGTCTACCTGATAAACACAAATTACAGGGTTCACGGCGGGTGTGACCGGTCAAAAGAAGATGCTTACTTCCCCTAGGCACATGATCTAGCTAGTCTCTGGAATGTTTAGGGTTTATTGTTATTAAACTCTTCAATGTTTTTTTTTTTATTATTATTTTTTCTAGATTTTTCTGAAATGATTGGTCGAATCCCTCATCTTTTTCATTCAATGGACCGCGTGCTTGGCAAGTAAACTGCAACGTTACTTTTTATTTAACTTGGTTTGAATTTTCGCGACCTGGAAGTGACGTCATGACTTTCTGATAACGGAAGGAGCTGTCTACTGAAGTTGAAGGGTTATCATATTTTGTGTTAAAATTATAAAATACAAATATTTTATGAGCATATTTGTGCAAACTCCCAGCACATGATCATGTATGTAGCGTTCTCTGCACATGAATCTATGGTGATACCTAACAGTATTCAAGCTCGAAGTTTATTTTTAAAAAATGTTATTAAAGTTGAATTATTGCAACATTTTTAATTTCAATTTTTTTCAAGAAAGATTTAAAAAGTTCAACTCTTAGCGTGGGAGTATAGTCTGTAGTACGATTGAACTCAGTGCCAGAAAGATTACATTGATTATCAAAAAAACGTTAAACGTAGCACTAGTTTTTGTCATAAATCCATTCCTTTTGAGTAGTAATCGGAGTAAAAAATTTTAAAAAGTACAGAAGGATGACTATTTAGTGCATGTTTCTATTAACCTCGGAGTCGTTGAAAAACGTTTGGTACAGATTTATTGTTCTAAACAGCTTCCTTAGTTGCCAGAATTTCTTGCCATAATAATTAACCAAGAATGTTAACTATGAATCTATCATAAATATTTTTAAGTCTGAAATATATTTTAAAGCTTAAACATTTTACGTAAATGTTTATATACATGTATTTTTTAAAATAATGCGTCTTATCCAAATTTTTATAAAAATATGTTCAACATGTAAAACTATTAATGATCATATAAAGTAGGTTAAATGCAATATAATGCAAAATATATATTGATTTTTTTTGTAGACAACATACATGTATGCAATATAGAACAATGAGATTTATATACATGTACATGTAATTTCTGAATAAAAATGTGAACAGTTTTACATAAGTAAAATGAGAAAAAAGTCGACATGATCGTTATCCTGTGCATGTTTTTTGTAGTTCTGAAGTTATATAAACAGTGAGTGCAATTGTAAAAGACTAGCCTTTTCATTTTACCAGATATTTGATTAGTTAGAATAATCTAACTGTGTCTCGGTACAAGCCCTCACCACAGTTAGAATACCACCCATATACTCGTAATGTAGCAAAAAATTGCAGAATCGCACCGAAACGATTTTGAATGATACAAACGGATTTGCACTGAAAATAACTTGCAAATTAATCATAACAAACCTTTTTGAGATTGCTTATGCCTTTTATCCCAAGAAAATAATCCAAATAAATACGAAAATCCAATTCATTTTCTCAACGTTTTCCTCTCGATTCAAATTACCTCCATGTTTACATTCGGAACTCTCTAGATTGTTCCTAGTAAATGCACTATGCGAGTTATCGCCCGTGTTTCTTTCTGCTACATTACGAATACACGGAACGAATTCTATCGTTAAACCGGGTCCGTAGGACAATATCATTTTAACGATAGAACATTCTATCTAATATTTGATATACTTGATAAATACCTAACGTCAGGTACATATATGTATTTACATTTTTTG